GGGGAGGAGTGGGTGATGATGGGGGGGGGGCAGTGACCCTTTAAGTACATAAGATTAGGAGGATTAATAAAAAAAGGAAGTTAATATGCATGATAATTAAGGATGCTTCAGGAAGAAATGTCAAAGATGTGTGTGTGAAAGCAGATGAATGTGTGTGTGTTAAGTGTTTGGCGGACAGAAAACAAAGCCGTCATTGACAATCTGAACGGAGGATTTCTGTGTCAAAGAATTCTCTGACTCTCAAACAAACACGCTGTGAAAGTGTGCGAAAAGAATTTCAGGCTCCCTAAAAAAGATGACCACACATTAGAGCCCAGCTCTTCACAGAGATTATCAGTGTTTACATGGCGTTAACCCACACACACACACACACACACACACTCTTTAGGCCACAGGGGCTGAGTTCTTTGGTGAAACGGTGGTTTCACACTTTTCTTTGTGGATGGATTTGTGCGACTTCTGTGGCTTTGGCCTCTTTTTCTGCCGTGTTTAAAACTTCCTGGGCCTCGCGGCCTGGAGACGACGGTGTCATTTGTTGGCTTGGTTTTGGCAACACGACGTTCCCAACCGCTCCAGTGGGAACGTCTTGTATTCGGTGATTTATTCCTGAACAAACGCTCTTTTCTGAAAGAGCCTTTTTCTTTTTTTTTTTTAGGCCAAAATTTCATCTGGACGTTTAGTCTGCAAAGAAAATCAACTGAACCACTGATGTGCTTTCTCAAAGGCAAGAAAAAAATAGTGAATAGTAATAATGGTGATACAATATTAAAATGACCTTTAATGTCAAAGGTAGAATAGATGCTGTTTTATACCAGCAGAAAGTGGATAATTGTGTAATTTCCCTCAGCCGTTCCTCCCGGAATACCACGTTCTTTAATTTTCTGATATCAAGTTATCTGCAAAGAAATTATTCCGAGTCTTTAAAAAAAAAAAAGAAAAGAAAATGATTTCCTGAATCACAAGTGACCGCGCGTATATATCATTTATTTATTTCTTTTCAGAAATTATACCACACCGACACAGGAATGCAGAGCATTCCCAGCTTTTGTGACAGGATTCCTAATCAGGCCTGACGTCCACTCTAGCACCGCGCTGCCCATCCCTTTTCCTCTCCTCTCCCCGGAGGAGGGCACGTCTTCTCCCGGCTCCTTGTTGCGTTTTGATAAAAGCCGACTCTCCCTCTGATGTCTCCTATCTCTTCTCATCTCCTGCAGTGAAGAACGACTCACTACGATTCCGGCTTCCTGCCGTGGGTTTTCTCTTTTCTTTTTCTTTTTTCTTTTCTTTTCCTTACCTCACCTCATTCCTCCGTCTCAGGGTGACGCCCACTGCTGTGTGCAATGGATCAAAACTGTCACAACAACTTAATGGAGTTCTGACCTGCTTTCTGACCCTCACTGCTTATCACATAAACACACCAGCTACACACTGCACCACTGCGTCACCACCACCAACACTTCTCTGATGTGTGAGAGGTTTGGATTCGTTGGCGGCTCATCGCCTCGCGGAGCGTGCGTCCGCTGCGGGCTTTGCTCGGCTGCGTCAGGATAATGCTGCTAGCACCTCCAGCAAACAAACAAAAAAAAGTCCTTTCAAAGCCTTAGGGCCAAACCTGAATGTTTACTATGTGGACCACGCCGCGAGGAAATGTAGACGGTGTCAGAGCCACTGGAGTCACAGCAGCACAGAGTCAACTCTGACTCTGTGCTGGGTGGAGTGGGTTAGCATCCGGTGGTGGCAAGTGAAGAGGTCACCATGAATCATGGAATGCAGAAATTATTAATTTATTATTTTCACATTTTTACTTTTTAAACTACTCTCATGTATACAAAGAAAAATGACAGGTTTTATGCTTCACGTTTGTCTTTGTGTGAGAGATCTTTGGACTGAAATCCAAGTTTTTTGGAAAATTGAAATAATTTGATGTAGCATCATCAAAATTACCAATCAAGTTTGTTTTGAAAAATTGCTCTGCTAAAAAAAAAAAATTGTATTTGACAGTGGGAAAAAAACAAATGAGACCTAGCACTGACCAGATATGACGACGAGATAAGTCAAATTTGTTTGACCGACGCCTCAGGGAACTTTCGTCTTTTTTTTTTTTTACCTGGTGAAGTTCCACTTCTTTTAAAACTAATAACGTAATAACACTGTCTTAGAACTTTTTGACCTCCTGGACCTCTTTTGTTCAACCTCTTTGGAAATAATTTATAGTTGCGTTAAATCGTTGTCAGTTCTTTTTGAGGTCAGAGTTGAACGGTGCAGCCACAGTTTCTGACCAAACACTCCGAGGTGTTTTTTTCCTCCGAAGGAAAAAAGAGCAAAATTACCAATCAAATATTCACCGTACAATGCTGTAGTTGGCAATAAAGTCTTCAGTATCCCCTGAAGGAGTCTAATTTCTTCCTAATGATTACTGTAGAGAAAGAGCTGAGTGTTGAATATCTGCTAAAAGATGAAAAGAGCACCAAACCCCAAGCAAAAATATATTCTTTAAAATGTAAAAGAGTTGCACATAAATCTCACAGGCTAAATATTTAATGAGCTGGTATGTTGGGAGATCTGTGGCTAAAAAATTGAACATAATTATCCTCATTAGGTTATCATTTGTGCATGATCACATAAAAGTGTTCCTTTAGCTTTTCAGTGGCAGAGGGAAGAGAGTTTTATGTTTATGTTTACTTCACTAGCTGCAGGTTCTGTTTAAACATCCAATTTTACATCCTTTTTTTTTTTTTTTTTTTTTTTAGGGCGGTTAAAAAAAACATTGATCCAACTTTCTTAACGTCCCACAGTTTCCTGGTACATTGTTATATAATTCTCTCTAATCTGGTTTGTCATTCATCCCAGGGCTCGTGAACACCAGAGATGAAGCTGATGTGATTAATTTCAAAGCAACGGCGGTTCTATTTAGAGATAAACCGCCGTCAATACCGTCTGACGCTCATGATATCTCACTCCTTCCACATCTGTCATCGTCTCTGACGCGCCCTTTGTTTTTCCAGGCACTTTTGTCTGTGCTGGTGGAGCCGGGCCCTCCCACACTGATAGATGTCATTATGTAAAATGATGATTTTTTTCTTTCTTAGCTTCTATGAGCATCTTGATTGAAGCCTGAAGGAAGTGGAGGTTTAATTGTCTGTGAAGGTTCTTGGTGCGTTCATTATCCTCATACAGTCATTATGTTAAACAGTGCATGTCGCTCACCCGACTGTCTCCTCTCTCCTCTCTCCCCGACCTAGACTTTCCTTCGCACCTTGACTCAGTTTTACCCACGTTGAGGTGCAAAGGAAAGACGGGGCGGGGGGGTTTAAGTGCTCAAACCAACTTCAATTGGTAGTTTTTACGTTCTTTTACAACAAAAAATATGCTGTAGATGTAGTTGTTTTGAGTTGAGGTGCAAAGGAAAGACAGTTCTTTACACCTATGTTCTTTTACACCTAGAAAGTCAAGGTTTTTAAAAAATATGCTGTAGATGTAGTTGTTTGATGATCAATTTCTTTGTCGTTTCTTTGTCATATTGTGGCCTGTGTTAGCTCAATGCTAACTGCTTCAAACGGCTGATAACGTTTCTGTGACAGAGCAGTTGTCACCGTGCCATCACGATTGTGCTCTGAATTTTTTTCCCGCCCTGCATTTATCTTGGTCCGACGTCCAAACAGTTTGATAAGACGAGGTGTGACATCACACACATGTGTATATTTGACCTTTTCACCTGCCGTTCACGTAGTCAGATATACAGTAGAGAACAAACTGTTTTTAAGATCACCATTCAACTTCCTCCTTCCTCCCTACAACAGCCGCTCTCTCACCACAGGATGTGGGGAGTCTTGCACTGCACGTGTGTAGAACCAGGTCGGATGGAGCGGAGATGACAGGTTGTCACGTCGTCATTATTGGCACAAACGTTTCAAATAAAGCTGCTTCTTTTTGAACAGTCTTTACATGAGCAGCCTGAGAGGATGAAAGAGGTTATTCCAGAACGTTCCCAGTATTGGATCTCCGTCTCTTCCAGTACTCGATCTCAAACTGTGAGTTCTGCTGTGCGTATGTGATGACAGCCGCTTCTCTCTGCTCGGCTCTGAGCTCCCGCTTGTTCTCCAGATGGCCGTGTGGCAGTTATAAACCTCGTGACACTCCCTTCACCCGGCCTCGTGACCTTTGATCCCTGTTACAGAGTGTGTGAAGCATATTCTCGACTCCTGCTCGGATTCTTTTAAAATGTAAATTAATCAATACATCATAAAATAAAGAGTACAAATGAAGTCTGTTTATAAAAGTAACTGTTAGCTGTTACATTTTCAGCATATACTTATGCCGCTCCCTGCCCCCCACTTTGAGAACCACTGATCTATACAGTCACTGTAATTCTTGATTGGATCAAAATGCTGTTGACACAGAGTCTAGAGCTGGAGCTTCAGCTTCAGTTCAGTCTCCAAAGACTGTAGAAAACCCAGATGTCGTTCCTTTTTTCCAAAGCAAAGTTGATTCAATAATTCAGTGAAAGTTTGCAGAGGACGTGGACGAGGCCTCGCTTCACATTCACGCAGCATCTTGATGTAGCTGGGGGACTTCTGCAGAAGAACCACACGTTTGTTTTCTCCTCTCACTGGAGCAGATGGGCCGCTGTGTGTGTGTGTGTGTGTGTGTGTGTGTGTGTGTGTGCTCTGCTGGTGGGCACATGTGGCAGCTGAGATATTTTTGTTTAAAGACAAGAGGAGTGTATTTATCCTACACACAATAACCTCTGCTCTTTGTCTTCTTATGAAGTTGTTTTATTCATATTTTTATTATTATTTATTCTTCTTCTTTGTCTTTGAACTGATTGGTTCAAATTCCACGTGATCATTCCTATTCAGTCTCTGTAAAGTTTTCCTTGACTTCATGCTGTTTACCGTCCTGAGGCGTCCTCTCTCGCCCGTCTTTCATTTCATTTCATTTCCATCTTCATCCTGTGATTGAATCGTTCTGTTTCTGCTTGCCTTGTCGTGTTTGTCCAGGCGTCATCACACTACAGCGGCACGAGCTGGACTGACATCGCGCCGCAGCGCTCAAGGCGCTTGATGTCCGTGACGCTGACCCGTCGCTCATTTGGCAAACGATGACATCATCATCAGTGTGGAGGTAATTTCTGACTGAGTCTGGGGTGATTTTTACGTTTCTGCAGAAAGGGTAGAAGAAAAGAAATTTGAATTCCACAGTCCTACTTCCTCCTTCTCTTTTTTTGATATCAAAGATTTTTTCCAAGTCTTTCATGTCGCTCCTCCTCGACTGTCTCCTCACTCCGTATTCTGATGCTGTTGTTGGGAAGAAGGGACCACATCAGCACTATTCTCCTCAAAGCTTTCCAACGCAGGGGAGCCGCGGCTTCCTCCACGTTCTCTGCTTCAAACGCCACACCTCAGATCAGAGGCATCCATATGCTCAAATGCACACGTGCTCGTTCCTGCAGCAGAGCCCCCCCCCCGTCCTCCCCCCTCCAAATGAAAGCCCTGACATCCACCTCCTCCTCATCCTCCTTTGTGGAAAATTGAGTCATGGTCCTTCTGCCTGAGTAAACAAGCCAAGACAAAGCAAGCCAGGCGAATAATGGAATCAAAATGTCGCCGTATTTAGAAATGTGTGGGCACGAGCGCTGACACCGTGTGATTCTGTAACAAGCACATGCAGATCAAGTCAACCGAACCCAGGGCTCATTAAATCAAGCACAAAACTACAGACAAAAGCTCGGCACATCGACAATGAAACTGGACGCACAGAGCAGGGATGTAAGGCCGGTTAACATGTGACTGTGTGCGCCGCAGAGCCGCGGAGCAGGATTGCCCCATATTAAGATTTCTAATTCGGGAACAGAACACTTTCTGAGTAAAAATGAAATTTCCTGAGCGAGCGTTCCTTGGTTCGTTAGAATTTCTATTCTTAGTCGACGTGAAAGGCGTTAAAAATGAGGTTGTGTTGAAAAAGTTTTGGGAGACTAAAGTAAAGTCGACAAAGAAGGAGAAACACAACAGTCGAACCAGTCGACCCCCGACGGTGCTTCTGTTTGTCTGATGATCTCTCAGGTGTCACGCAGCACTGATGCACCCATTGTTTTTAATTACCGCGCTACGCTGATTGTTGGTACACGGTTAGATTAAAAACTTTGACTGCAGACCTTAAACCCAAGACTAATTATGATGGAAAGAGGGAAGAAAGAAGATCAGGAGAGAGTGCAGACTTCGACCGTGAACAAACCGCTGACGTCGGCACAATAGCTCAGAATATAAATATGAGAATATAAGAACTCCACCCTCCCTCCCAGGGAAATGTCAGAGTTTCATGGGAGTTTAAAGTTGCAGTGGAGATCGGCCGCAGGTGCTGTTTTAGTAAGTCGTTAAAGACTCAACAGCGTTCGTTATTTTCTAAAAATAATCAGACAAACACCGTATTTCTAAATATTCCACCGTCCTTTTACTTATCGTCGCTCAAGTTACCATCTCAACCACCAGCATGTGTTTGGGTGGAGGACTTCAACTTCAGCTCACATGGCCAGAGGCCCCGGTACATCAGTAACTGCTGGTGTAACCTAGTACCTCGGGGGAGGTGGTACCTGCGATACCTTATCCCTATTAATTTCCAGAAGACGAAGCCAGCGTCGTTTTCCAAGAACTGCTGCAGTAATAAAAGCTGTCGAGGTTCTGTGAGCTGACATTAAAACATCCCGTTGACATTTACATTAGAGGAGAAACTCTACCCTAATGTGGACCCTGTCGTTAAAACCCTGTTCCATCACAGAGTGCAGTTCTTTAATCTACAAATAAAAGAGTCTCCATAGAGACGGGCCGTCGAGTCTGACTTTTATAAAACCAAAGTAACTACGACAAACGTCTACGGGAGGCAGAGACGCTGAGATGGTCCAGGATCCAGATCCTTTTACTTTCTTCGTTAGCGATAATGTTTTAAAACAACAGGTCAAAGGTCATTCAGATCCTTTAATGTCAGTCCGACTGGTCCTTGGTACAAACCAGGCTGTGGACCACTGACCTGTCTGTGTTGCCGCTGTCTCCATGTCTTTGTCTGTGGTCAGACACAGCACCAGAGTTTAAAAGAGGATCACAGCCCGTCCAGGTGCTGAACTCAGCTGGTAAAAGGTCTGCTTCAGACTCTAAAGATGTTCTAGAATTCTAGTGACGTTCAGAGCCGTGGCACAAAGTGGTCCTGAATCGACGGTCGCTGCTGAGAGACTAACTTGTCAACACGTGGAGTGGTGTCTGTCACAGTACTCTGTCTGTTTGCAGTACCACTCGAATGTTTACTTCCCAAATACCCCTCTGAAATCTAATCAGCGCCGTGTGTGTGTGTGTGTGTGTGTGTTAGCTGTGAGTGTGTTTGTTGGTCTGATTTACTCAAACCCTGCACAAACAGGCAGAGTGGTGGCAGGTTCTCCTCAGATGAAGAGAACAAATGTCTGCTGCAGGGACGTGGCTCCTGATCTGCCCTTGACCCAGCTGGCGTGGACGGGAACGTGACGCGGCGCTGTGTCCTCAGAGCAGTCTGTTGGCTGAAGACACGAGGTGATCTAAGATCAGAGTAGATCAGTCGTCAAAGATCCTCCTGAACAGTCAGGTTCAGCTGCAGTCGACCTGCTGTGAATTCACCTGCGAAATCGCTCAGAATATTATTACAAGAACGGTGCAACGTCTCAGTGGCAGCAATGTGCAACTCATTTTGGAAAATTCTGTTCATCATCGTTATCATTAATCACAAAGCCAACATTATTCTGGACTGCTGAGCTAACGTGCTCAACACTCCCACCTGTTGGCTACAACAGATTATACCAGATATTAGTTAACCAAATTAGCGTGTTAGTGTTGTCACCTCTGCTGGATGAAGCAGAAAAACTTCCCACACATATTGAAAGCTGATTCAGCCAGGAATACTTTATGGTTTGAACAGAAACTCAGACCTACAGGAACTTCCTGTAGGTCTGTATCTGAGTAAAGAAATACTTGTTGAAACAGTAATTAGAGTAAATATTCACATTGATCTGAAAAATAAGAAAAGGTATAAAGAGGAAGGAGACATTTTTTATTTCCTGTTTGGTGTCAGTGAGGTGTGATTACACAGTCATTTGACTGAAGTTTGTTAATCTGAGGCTGTGTTTCTATTTTAGAGGATGACATTTGTATTTATTCAAATTAGAAAGGCTGTTTTTCCACAACTGTATCTTTAAAAACTCCACTGAACTTAAGTTAATGCTTAAAGGTTATTTATATTATTTACAGACGGCCATTCCTATTGGAGAAAGAAATTATATTACAAATAAAGACCCTGGAGGGGGCCGCCTCCCTCATGTTGGGACCACTGGTTTAAACAGTTCGTCTTGTCCTTTTGCTGTGTTTTATGTGACAGTTAGCCTCAGTAGCTAAGAGGAGTCGTGTAGAGGTAGCTTTTGAACTGCGGCAGAACTGACCCAGGGTCCTACCACACCCCCCTCACCTCCCCTCCCTCAAGTGTGTCCTCTACAGCAGCCCTAAATGAAGGCAGATCAGGTTCTGCTCCGTCAGGAGTGCCGCATAGAGCAGGGGTAATCAATTCAGGAGGCTGAGCATTCTAACGAGTTCATTATTCCAGCTTGGTTTAGGACCAATTACTATTCTCGCATCTGAAGCCATTTAAGACTGGGTCGCTCTTGTCAAATTAAGTCAAGCGTAAATTCAGATAAATATTTGCATAAGCGTGGGAGCAAAGTGTGGCAGCCCAGATAGAGTTGGACGCTTTGCATAGTCGTCATCGCCCCCCAACCCCACCCCACCCCCCCTCGCNNNCCCCCCTCGCCCCCGCCACCTCCCTCCTCCCAGCCTTCAGTGTTGGTGATCTGCTGATGTGTGAGGAGCAAAGGTGGCGCTCTTGATAACGTACCTGTCAGGCAGGACGTGAACTTTTTTCCGACTCTTTCTTCTGCTTCTGCTTTTCCAGCTCAGACACTTTTCTACAGTCTCTGATGAGTTCAGAGGCGACAACTATATATATAACATTGAAAAAACAGCCACCGTGACCGTGTCAGTAACTAACTGACAGTTCTGTCTGTCAGCTGACAGGCTCTTATTAATGATAATTATTATTATTATTATGAGCTGCTGTTGTTTCTCATTTTTTTAATTACTCGTGACAAATCGTTTGATGAATCGTCCTCATATTTATGCCTGTGTGTGTATATTTATACATGAATGTGTGTAGATATATTTATCTACTTGCATCCATCCATATATATATATATATATATATGGATGGATGTTCACTATACACATTTATTACTGAAGTGAAACAAAGACTGGACGACACATCGCTGAAGTTGACGACATCTGAGTTGTTCATGAATCAAAGTGACGCTTCATTACGTTTATCAGTAATTAATTCATTTCAGTCCATTTACAGCTAAACAACAAAGACGCACAGAGAGAAACAGTCAGTTTGTGACTCTTCAGTCAATGTTCAGCCTCAGCCCAGCCTTTTTTACAGATAGGTTGGCAATATTGCCGCATGCAGCGTGACACACATTCTGCAAGGATGCAAAATTGTAATGGAAGTGCTTCATTACCACAATGCTGACTTCATGCTTCATCAAACCCCAGCCTATAGTGTTTATCAAAGGGCCTTTGTTATCCTGAATAAATAGACATGTTACCGGAAGCCAAGAGTGGAGACTGAACTGGAGTCAGCTGGCTGAGAGCATCACCCTGGGGGGGTGGGGGGAGGGATACTCTCTGCTTGATCATTTCAACTCCTTGGAGACTTGGAATGTTAACATGACATTTTAATATTTATCCTTACTTGGACGTTACAGCCTTAGATGGAAACGTTATCCCAGCCTGACGCCCAGCAGCTCTGTTGTGGTAAACTGCGACTGACCTGTAGTTTTTTTTTTAGTTTTTTTTTTTAGTTCTGCCTCAGTCGTTCTTGGGTTGTGGACGGAGCCGCTGCTCCATGGTTTGTAAACTGGGAATCACAGAGATATAAATATATTCTCTATTTTTTTTTCTCACAAATGTGTAGAATGTGGATGAAATAATAATCCGGTCGGTTATCTGCTGTTGCTCGGCAACAGTTGTTGCCATTCGACAGGATCGCTCAAGTACGGAGAG